TTTTAAACAAAGCTAGTTGGTTATTAGGCAGTAGGCACTCCCAATTGACGCCATTTTGATGTAAGCGGGGGAGGTGTTGTCCTTCCTTCCTTCCTTTCCTTTGATAAAATGGTAGGACACAGTAATATGGTCCTAATCTGTTATATGTTTAGTCGCATGTATTCGCAACATTGTTGCCGAACTAATTACTTTTGAGACACCAAAAATTAAGATGATATCTGTTTTCATTTTCAAATCCTAAGCCACACTAGCACAGTTACCTTATTTTATGTTTTTAGATTGCAAACTAGCGTAATTTTACCTCTTTTTAAACAGCTTTATACTAGTTTCAAAATAGAGAACAAAATCAAGAATCTAGCAGGCTTATAGTTTTGGCAGGAATAGAAAACCAACCATCCTCTGGCTAGTCTCCTATAATAAAAATTAAAAGGCTGTTACCGTTGGACTAGCTCTAAAACTATTTTACCTCAATTTTAGTTGCCATTTCACAATTTCTGAGAAAAATAACAAGACGTGTTCATCAGTTCCGTTGGACATTTGTAGATGATTGTCCACCAAAACCGACCGAGACAATAAGGTTAACCAAACCAAGATGAAAAATGAGTTTCAATTTTGGTTAAACCGCAATTTCAATTAAAAATTTTAAACTGTGTTATTTTTGAATTTTTATTTAATTTAATAATTCAAAAAAAAAACAAACAAAAAAAAATTTAATGGTTTAGTTGGGGGATTCGTATCCTGATTCGAATCATAGTTCGTGGTTCGCTATAGTGTTTTCTCTCACAAAAAATACACATAAATCAAAAATAGAACCAAACGTCTCCGCGCCCTTATAAATAGGCACTGATAGCCTTTTATAGATGTGAGGGTGGGAGAAATTGTCATACATTTTCGATGTGGGACTCCAAATTTTTAGTGTTGCTGAGTTTTAAAACACCTAAAAGTCAATAAATATAACCGCGTGTCATTAATAACAGACCAAGGGCAGCTACCCTAGTAGTTAAGCGCGCTAAGGAGTCCTTGGGTCAAGGGTTTAACTCCTCACCATTGCGAAACTTAAAAACGTTTTTTTTTAGATGAGCTTCGGTTTGGTTTGGTTAACCGAACCTCAAATCCATATAATTGAAACCGCCCGTGTACATAAACGGTTCAATTTTTTAACTGAATTTTCAATTTATAATTGGGTCGGTTGAAATCGGTTCGGTTTCTTAGGCGAGCAATTGGTTCTTGTCGTTCCGGTTTATTATGAAATTCCCTAACATAAGATATCTCCTATGACCGGGTTCACATGCATGAGAATATAACATTATTCTCTACTAGGAGTGTAATTCGGCCGGGTAAGCTCAAGTTGGCCGGAAATTTGGGCCGAGCTGGACACTACGGGTTGAAGAAACTTGAAAAATAGTAAAAAATAGGCCAATATGAAAAGCTTAAGAAAATATATAAGTCAATTTTTAGTTATAGAAATTAATAGGCCATAACTTGTCAAGTTATGGTTCATAACCAGATAAGTTATGGATAAACTTGTAAGTTATGGTTTATAGCCAGACAAATTATGAATAATTATGGACAATAACTTGTCAAATTATGATTCATAACCAGACAAATTATGAACGAAAACAATAATTTAACCTATTTATTAACTTATGTAAACTTTTGACGTATTAATTTTAATTCATCTTGGCCTATTTCCCTCTTTCTCTCAAGAAATTTTAGGCCGCAACACCAACTTGGGCCCTACAAACCGTCAAACCCGTAACCCTTCGGGTGACCTCGGGTAGGCTAGGCGCCTCTTCTCTTCCTCAACTTGTTCAAGCAGTGCTTCTAGTTCGGTGAACAAAATCAAAATCAAAATATATCTACTAAAATTAAAATCAAAAGTAAACGCAAATATGAAGAAGTTTCGAGGCCGCAAGGGAGAAGAAGATGAACGGCGGAGGATGTGAGAGGGAGAGAGGCTGAGATGAAAAGACTAAAGCTTGAATTGAAGTAAACCATGGACATGTACAGCTCAGTTTGCAAAGAAGCAATCTCAGCCAAGCTCAATTTGCAAAGAAGCAATCTCAACCAAGAATAAGGTAAACTTCATACTTTAAAAAATAATATATATATATATATAAGGCCCTTAAATGAGATTTTTAAAATTGCCGCTATTTTGCAGGTTAGAGAGCTGAGCCAGTAGAAGCTGGACGAGATCAGGAAGTTTGAGGAAGCGAGGTTGGCCAAAGAGGCGGCTCTTGCTGCTGCGGAGATGGAGAAGGCCAAGTGCAAAGCTGCCATTGAAGCGGCTGAGATGGCGGAGAAGGAAGCGCATCGATGGAAACATGCGGAGATGATGGCCAGGCGAGAGGCGAAAGAGAAGTGAGAAGTGAGAGAGACTGAGAGAGAGACTAAGGAGCTGGGCTGGGCGGCGCAAAGAAAAAGAGAGGTGAGAGAACTGAGAGAAATGATACTGAGATAGAGTATTAGGGTCCAGGTGGTATGAAAAATGAATGTAATTCGTCCAGGTCTGCGAGTAACGGGCCAAATGAAGCCCGACCCGCGCCCCAACCCACAATGTGCGGGTTGGGCCTATTGTAATCTGAAAAAAAAAAACTATCACAAATTTCGGGTAGGATTAATTTAGGTAGAGCATGTTCGTCGGGTTCAGGCTAAATTCTTACTGCCCTATTCTCTACAACCTCTAAAGGGTTGGATAAAGTGGTTGTGAATTCCTCTTTAGACTCTCACTAAGAGAGATCCAAGATTCAAGCACCGAACTCCCCAATCTCAGAGGGTGCTTATCAATAAAATAAAATAAAAAAACATTATTCTATGCTATGCCTATTACCGCACAAAGATCCGTTCAGTAACATGAAATGTTAAGACATCATGGTGTTAAATAGCACGACTTTAGGGGGGAGGGGAAAGCATTAAATATAAGGCATTACGGAAATACGTTGAAGGAAGGGAACTGGGCTATGAAGAAGACCCACATGCAGTGATCATTTGACGATTTTGTGATGCACCGATTGATGCCCTACGCCTTGGGGCACATAAAAGCAACTTGATGGAAATTGGAATACACGCATTTTTCTTTTTCTTTCTAAAATGCCTTCTTATTTTGGGCAACACATTTTTCTGTTATTATAGTCCTATACATAAATGAGGCCCTGGATTTTCATATTTTGGCTTTCCACACTTTTCTTTTCTTTTCCTTTTTTTTTTTTTTTCTCCTGGTTGAGTCAAGAGCAAGTTGTCAACCTATCACCCTCCAAGGTACCCTTGCCTGTAGGGAATGTGGAGAAATTAAAGCTGAACTAAAGTGATTCCAACCAAAGCAGAAAGAAGAAGAATATTTTACTTTCTGCGCATGTCAAAGATGATCTATAGTTTCTCTAGACCCCTAGTGAATACTTTTTATTTTTCCTGTTGAAAATATCAGTCTCCTAAAAAATTGAAAAATCTTTCATGCAAGAGACTCTTCAAACAAGCCTCATTGAGTGATAAACATAACCTTGTCCTGCAAAAGAATGAGCTTAATTAATTAGTTTGGTTTTTTTTGGGTGATAAATTGTGTTGTATAAGTTATTGTGTATGGTTTAAATTCTGAATTCAACAGAAACAAAAACTACAAAAAAAAAAAAACAGGATTTAGCTTTACTAAATCTGTCAATACCTAAGCTTATCAAATTCACAACTAGTTGGTAAAAAACATGGACAGAACACTCACTAATGCACTAAATAGTTACAATTCTTCTAGAGTAAATGCTGATATTTTTTCTGTATCTTCTTGAGTAGAGAATGTAGTAATATATACGTGGGAAAGTACGAGAAAAAATGAAGAATAAGATCTCAATCTGGTGGGCTGTAAATATCAAGGCTCTTTTACTTTTTCTTTAATTTTTCCCCTGTCAGCATCCTTCTTTGCTATTCAATTTATTACCCTCCCTCCCTTTCTTCTTTTCACATTTGCTTCACAAGCAAAGAATAGGAAGAAATGTTCCACCAAAAAAAAAAAAGAAAAGGAAAGAACAGAAAGAGCCCAAATGAGAAAATTACTTAGTATGCCACTAAAATTTAACAACTTTACATTCATGCCATCTAGTCTCTCGCTATCTTTGTTAATTTAAAAAATACATATATGTATATTTTGATAGTCGAAGATTGGAGTCTGATATGTTCAATCATCTTTGTTGTAAAGAAAAATAATCTGGTAGGATAATTGAATATCCTGTTAGAACACCTGATGAATTGAGTAGTACAAATGTTTAAGTTTATACCACTGGGTGGTATCCATGTAAAGATGCAATCTTTTGAGTGGCATTTTTGTATTTCTTCCGTACGAAATGCCATTTGATCTCCCCCAACAATAATTTCATAATTGACTCAAGACTAACATATATTAAACATGGGCAAAAAGAATGAAACTTCCATAATAATATAATAATTTCAATACCCCAGTCAAAGAGTTGCACTTGGACGGTGAAGATTGGAAAAAGCAGGTTAGTAACTACAGGAAGGTCCAGGCAGTTGTTAGTTTCCAATCAGTCATATTCCATACACTGTTTGTGTGCCACACCTAGTGTGTGTGTGTGTGTGTGTGTGTGTTGTTACTTGTTAGCGTTGGAATTCAATTAACAATGAAATGTCTAAGAATATAAAAAAGTTTGTGGATTTTATGGTAAATTTGACCAAAAGAATTTAATGTTGCACCTAACTTGGCTTCCTAAACATACCAGCAACTTTATGCCAGCAAACCCAAGTAAGCTTCCACCTAAACTGCAAATTAAAATAAAGGCAATTGAACCAGTCTTTTCACATTATGCATATTTAAAACCATCTATAAATGCCAAAATCATCCTTGTCTGGAGTACTGTACTCAGAACATTTCTAGCTGCCATTATAAGCATGGTGAGGGGTATTTTCCTGAACATCACTCGTCAGGCTCAAGGCCGAAAAAAACCAACCTTATTTTGAAGGCAAGGGCACATATATAAGGAGAATAGATTCAGAAATTCAATGCGACTGCTTTCTCCTCCTGTTTCATCCTTCTGGGGAAAGCAGAACACGAGATAATGCTGCGAGAAGACGACGAATTCGAGATCAACCTTCTGAGAAGACAACTTGAAGCATCTTTGGTGAGCAACATTTCATTGGCAAAAGAAAATGAGGAGCTGCGGCAAGAAGTGGCTCGTCTCAAAGCACAAGTTAGTACCCTTAGAGCACATAACCATGAGAGGAAGTCCATGCTGTGGAAAAAGCTACAGAACTCGATGGATGGCAGCAACAACATCGACGTATTGCAACAGAAGCCGTCGTTTCTTGTCAATCTATCATCAGGGCAGAGCCAAGCAGTGGAGAAACTACATCAAAAGCCAGACTTCTTAGAATCAGAAGCAACAAAGGAAAAACCACAAAAGGCACCTAATCCACCACCAAGCCCGCCTAGTTCAACTTCTCCAGTTTTTCTCAAGGAAGTCAAAGAACATAAAGTGTCATCACCACCATCACAAGCGCCTCCACCTCCTCCACCGCCACTGCCCTCAAAAGCACTTGTTGGATCAAAAGCAGTGCGGCGTGTACCAGAAGTGATGGAGCTGTACCGTTCACTGACAAGAAGAGATGCCAACATGGAGAACAAAAGTAGTCCTGCTAAAGCTCCAGCGCTTGCCCTTACTAGGAACATGATTGGAGAGATAGAAAACCGGTCGACTTATATTTCTGCTGTGAGTGTTCTCTAGGAACATTTTAAGATTTTCTTCCTATTACAAGTCCAAAAGAATAGGCAAAGGCTAATGAAAAATTAATTTACAGGTAAGGACAGAAGTGGAAACACAAGCGGAATTCATCAACTTCTTGATTAGGGAGGTGGAGTCTGCTGCCCACAAGAAGATTTCCGATGTCGAGGCATTTGTGAATTGGCTAGACGAGCAGCTAGCGTCTTTGGTCGATGAAAGGGCGGTTCTGAAGCATTTTCCTCAGTGGCCAGAACAGAAAGCGGATACACTGCGAGAGGCTGCTTGCAACTACAGGGATTTAAGGAACCTGAAAACCGAAGTTCTGTCATTTGAGGACAACCCAAAAGAGCCTCTGAGCCAGGCCGTGCGAAGAATGCAAGAATTGCAAGACAGGCGAGCATGTACTCTACTTGATTGGATTGTAAGAAAACTTGGGGGAGTACTTTTAGAATAGTGCAAAGGTTTTTGTTTAACAGATGGGATTTCAAATCATTGCAGGTTGGAGCGGAGTGTCAACAACATAGAACGGACAAGGGAAAGCACTAGCAAGAGATACAGGGATTTCAAGATTCCTTGGGATTGGATGCTGGATACAGGTCTCGTTGGCGAGGTTGGTAGATTTCCATAAAAGATCCGTAGATAGATAGTAACGCTTTACCAATATCTCAAATAACTTAAGAATGTGATAAGCAGTCATTACCCTTCCAAGTTCCAACATCTCCAATACCTAACCTAAGTAAACCCATAATTCCATGGGGCGGCTACCGAGCTTGTTTGTAAGACTTAAGTACAAATGATCATAGAAAAATGCAATGACATCAAGCAGTCTTTTTTAAGAAATTAAGCACGGCTTTTTACCAATTGAAAAGGCTCATGAAACGTAATATATGAATTGGGAAGCGAAAATTTGTCTCTTGCAACTGCAGTAATGTTTCTAATTTCTTAAACCACCTCTTAATTGCAGATGAAATTAAGCTCACTGAAACTAGCCAAGGAGTACATGAAAAGAATCACCAAAGAACTCCGATCTAACAACGACTGCACGAGAGAAGAAAATAATCCCCTGCTTCAAGGAGTTAGATTTGCTTATCGCATCCATCAAGTAAACCTCACTCGCAAATCTTTTTTTCTAACTTTTTCTGTTGTCCATTATAGCTGCAATGCTATTCCTAACACTAAGGTCTGTTCAGTTTGCAGGTGGGTTTGACGCAGAGACCATACAAGTTTTTCAAGAACTAAAGAGAATAGGACTTCGAGTTATCAGGCAATAGTTTGTTATGTTTAAGTGTCAACATACAAAAACTGTGATTGATAATTATCAAAGTGGCAGTGATACAACAAGAACGCCATCAAAATGGAGTGTGTTTGAGCAACATGGTTTATAAGCAAAATTTTTATGGCTTGTGCATATCTTTATCAGCATTACAGATTTAGTTCCATGAAGATGGACAATGGTCTTCTCACAATCTCACTTCTCAAGAAGCATAACGATGGTTTTTTTTTGTGAACACCATTACCGTGTTTTTAACTGAGCACGATTTCCCAGTTTGTATGAAGCAAATCCATCTACGTAAAGTTTCAATTGATGCCAGAACACAGCACCCAAAAAAATATTGATCTTATTCCGAGAGTTATTATAAAAGAAAAATTGGCGCAAAACCTTGAGCTTTTCTTTTCTGTAAATCCATTAATTCATCACGCAGAATCGTAATAAACGAGCAAGAGAATCCTCAATAAACGGCAGAAAAATTAACCAAAATATAACATATAAAACTTAATTGAATGTATCAGCAAAAGCAAAATCTAATAGATTCATCAGCAAAAATGAGTTCTTAACAAAGTAGAATTCAACTTTTAACGACTAGCGAACGTGACAAACACCAGGCTTGAACAGCTCTAGATTTTCCACATATTAATCCTAAAAAACACGGAAACAAAAAAAAAACAAAGACCAGAAACCGATAAGACCCAAACACGCCAAGCGAAAGAGCTCTTGCCGAGGCGACGAAACCGCTACCGCTACAGCTACAGCTCTCACTTAGATCTCTGCCTCATCTTTCTGCGCTTCCTCTTCAACCTCCTCATGCGCTTCTTCTTCCACTGTCGTAAGAACATCAAATTTCGTTAATTTTTACGACCAGAGATTCGAACATTCATTGGTAAAACCACAATCGGAAAAAAAAATAGAAAACAAAACATAAAAACGGAAATATCGAAACAATAAGAAGAAGAAGAAGAAGAAGAAGAAGAAGTATACCTTGGCTCTCATGGTGAGACGGCGATGAACAAACCCTAAAAGCTCTCTCCGTCTGTTTCTTCGGAACCCCTGCTGAACCAGATGAGATTGGCTGTCTCCTGGGGATGAGGACGTGGCCGCTCTTATAAACGAACCCTAGTTTGTGATTTGGGCTAGGGCGAATAGTAACTTTCTATTGGGCTTTGGTTTTGGAGCCCATCGTTTGATAGTCTTTTAAAAACGAAATGTCGTTTATCGGCTGTACGACACCTAAACATTTGCTTGAAAATCATGCCGTTAGATTGACTAATGAAAACTTACGACTGATTTCCTCAACAAAGAAAAAAAGAAAAAAAAAATCTAGACAAGGAGGTAATGAACTTGTTGCGTGGGAAAATATGTTTTGACACGTCAGATGACGATCACGCTTCACGTGGCCCTAACTCGCCACATCAGATAGTGGTCGACATCTAAAGCTCATTTCCCCCGTCATCCGGTAAAAAGGCAGATCGTATGTGACAATTCATGCAACCGTCGACCCTACACACAGTCGGGGCCTGCAAGATTTGTTCTCCTTAGACCAGCGGTACTGTGAGGGGATCGACCGGGACAGATGTCGCGCCTTGTGAAATATAATATAGACGCAGAGGGCAGGACGCTTAAGCTTGGATCCACATCCCAAGAATAACCTCTAAGGTGACAGGGGGAAATCCCTATATTACTTTTAGGTTTAGAGAAGGTTAGTAGCATAGAGAATGATTACATGCCTATAAACCACTTAGAACGAACCAATGGAAATCACGAAAGATCCGCAGAGTCACAATAGTGGACGAAGTGGGTGAGTGAACAGTCCAAATGGCGTAGAGAGGCTACGGTCTAGGCAAGTAGGATAATAGGCCACTCAAAAGAAACCATCAGAGGACCCCCTGTCACAATCTGCCTCAAATGTACTCATATGTGATCTGTGAGATATAAAATGGGCAAGGCCCTAGGTGGGGGGCGGGTGGTTTGGCGGATTTTGTAGTCTTTGAAGGAAGAAAGAAATAAAAATACAATAATAAGTGGATGTAGCTATTTCATTATAGAGTGAACCACTATAACCTCGTGTATTCTTTTTCGTTTTAACGACAGGTCTATACGTTTTTAAAATACCTTGAAAACAAACACAACCAATTGTATTTTCCTAATAATATAACCAGTTGGCCGGTAACCCGACTAACCACTGAGTGGTAATCCGGCGTAATCTTATTGATGGAATTCCACCGTCAACAGAACTCATACTAGGTATGGCGTCAAAATGGGAGAGGCAAATTTTAACCTCAAAACCACATAAGGCATGGCGTGTTCCTTCAACGACAGTAAATTAGCACATACCACAAACCTTTTTTGAAATTCAATGCGTTTCAGTATTGTAAATGTTTTAACCTGAAAACCACATGTGACATGACGCGTTCTTTAACCGAGAGCAAATTTGCACATACGACAAATTGTTTTAAAATTCAATACTTTTTAGTATCGTAAATGAAAACAGCATATCGTATTTCTGTTGAAATAACATGCATTTTCTAGCTAGTAAATGATGACATCAACACAATAAAATGACCTTCATGGCTTCATAAAGCTAGCTATGCTAATTTTCTTTTTTCAATTATTGAAATGACTTCAGACTTTCAAAACAAGTGGCCATGCCTTTTTTTTGGCAAGAGATGTGTTTTCCAACCTATACTCTTTCTAACTATCGTACTTATTTCCATGAAGAAATAAGAAAAGCTACCTTTCCTTCACCTAATCATGTGATATGTCATATGTGCGTGATTGTGTGTGTATTCCTCGTATAAATATTCCATTTTTATCTTTACAGTCTACAGAGCTTGCATATTTTGTGTTGCACAAGCAACAATGTACTGTTTACATATAATGGGACCGATGGAGATAACATTGAGACTTTTTTATTAGTATTTGAATAGTGTCTAAAAAAATATTTTTATATTTAAAAAGAACTTTTAAATATGTTTAGGTAAAAAGGTATTGTTACAAAAATTAATATAATAAAAAAATATGAATGTGATATTTAATTTGTTGTTTATAAATAAAAAATTAAAATGTAAATAAAAAAAACTTTTCACAAACACTTTTTTCATAAACATCAAAGAGATAATTTATTTTAAAAGTGTTTAAAAAAACTAAAAACACTCTAAACAAATTTAAAAGCGGGTTTTAAACTAAATAAGTTAAAATCAATTTTTTTTTAAGCCAATCTAAACGGCCCAATGTGTTTTATGTTAAATGGCTCAGTAGTGCGTCTTAAGCAAAGTTCAGATGGAATCTACTCGTTCAGATCTTTTTGTTCAACTTTGTTTCTGTCGTAAAGAGTTTATACGTGTAGGCCTAGAAAAAAACACACAATTAGGGCTCGTTTAGTTTCCTGATTCGAGTTTTTAATTCGAATTGAGATGTGATTTTATGTAAGAGCTTTTTACTGTAACAAAAAAGTTAAATGTGACTGTTTTTGAAAGTTTTTTACTATAATAAAATTTGAATTCTAAACTTAAATCAGTAAAATAAATAGTGCCTTCATCTCAGACAACACTATTAACCAACGATTGAATTATTGGACGTGTTATATATTCCATCAAAGAAAACAAATATTACTTCCTCAAAAAAGAAAAAAAGAAAAAATAATAATATTATCCCCTTCTTTTCATTCTCTTCACGCGGAAAGAATCAGTGTGGTCATTGAGACATCAAAATGTACAATCATGCAAAAACTTGATGTCTATTCTGTTTCTTCTTCTCATATATTCCATGAGAATATCCATTAATAACTTACACGTACACATACACACCTCTTATAAAAAGAATATGAAAAAGTTTATTCTAAAGTAAATATACTATAAGATCATAAATATTCCTTTTTGTATCAGAGGAAAAAAATATTATCCCTTTTTGTAGGAAGAAAAAAAGACTTGAGCATCTTCTATGTATATATATGTAGACATTTATCTAGAGAAATATATGAAGTAAATTTTTTTTTTTTCAATAAGAGTTCATTACATCTTTAGATTATATATATATATATATACACAGGCGCGCATATAGATATAATTTTAATGGGTACTCCAATGAATATTTATTAATGGATATTATTGTTTTAACTATAAGATGTTGATTTAACGGTTATAATAAATTGCATATTTAACCAAAAAAATTAATGACAATTAATGAAATTAAATTTTATCACGTCACGTCATCAAACTTCTATATTTAAAAGTGACCACCAATAGAAATGAAAATATTGAAAACTTATCTATATATACACATATATGTATATGTAGGCATGCACACTATTTTCAATGAGGGTACGTACATATGTTTATGTATATGCAGTCATGAATGCACACTGTGTACATGAATTATAGATGTTCTAATTATAGTCCATAATTTCTAGACATTCCGTTAAATATTTAATACTTAAGTTACATAAAGACCGAAACTGAAACAAAGTTATAAAACTTTATAGACCAATTGTGAAACGTTTTAAAAGTTCAGGACTAAAGTGAGATAGTGGGTAAATCTTAAGGACTATTTATGGGGTTAACCCGACATAAAACTATAAGAAATAAGAGAAACGACCACGATCCTCAAATTTTATTCGATCAATAAGTTAGCAAAACTTACCGTCAACCATAATTATACCTCGTAAGACCAAACATATACAGAAAAAACGCATGTGTATTACCTGCCACTAATTGGTTGGTGCAGTAATAAATATTTCTTTTCTAATTAATATTTTGTGTGACGTTGGGTTGTGGTGATATGAGTGAAAATTAAACTTGTCCTTAAAGCATAATTAAGTCGGGCTATTTATGTTCTATTGATAGGTCCTGAATTTTTTAAAGTGATGAATAGATAGGGATTGATGATGGTAATAATCTCCTTTTTGTTTAGTAAAATATAAAGAACACATCTGCATTTAGAAATTTCCTAATTTATTTTAGTAATTTTATTTTCAACAATTCTCTAGGGTTTGGGTGTTTTACATATTGCTTTATGAATTATATAGTTTTAGCAACTTATTCTTTAAATTTTTAATTATGATAAGTTGTTCTCTCAACTTATAAAATTATTATAATATGTCATATTTTGATTATAATTATATTAAATTAGTGTCGAAAAAACACATTCGACGAAAAATTCTAACATTTAATTTAAATATAATATAAATATTTTTAATTCTTTAACTTTTAATATTTTAAATTTAATAAAAAATTTAAACAAATTTAATAAAATGTGACATATTACAATCATGTGACAAGTTTGTAGGGATTGATTGCACTCAACAATAATTTCTTTCAATTATATAAAAAAAAAAAAAATTTCTTTAAAAAAAAAAAAAGAAGCCCAGATGACCTGGAAGGCGGAAGCCAACATTATCCGCGTCAGCAAACCCACGGTGGTATCCGCGACACTCGAGCAAATGCCAAAGCTTAACGCAATCCACTACCTCACCATTCCAAAATTCCGAAACTCGTCACGCCTATTCGCCACGTGTCCAGGCCGTGATCCTTTTGGTAGTTCCAACGGTCCACCGTACTACCTGTCTACACAAAAAGCCCAAAGAACAGCACGTGTCAATCATTCGTAAGCGAGTACGATGTCATTCCTTACGCGACGCGCGTAAGCTAAGCCAAGCATGGGCCCACATTGCCAAGCCCAAGCGCCAAAGCCCCCTTCTCTTCTCACCAAGAAACCAACCATCGTCTCTCTCTCTCCTCTTTCTCTCTCTAACTCTCCCTTCTTAATCTTATCAATAGAATCCAAACAGGGCAAAAGCGAGAACCCACTCGGCCATTACAACCACACACGGCCTCACAGTTTGGTCCTTCGTTGATTCTCTATCTCTCACTCTCATTCACTTCCATTTTATCCAGAATCACAGACATTCATATATTTATATATATGTATGATGAGAAGTCAGTGAAGATATTAATTGGGAGGAACTGAATATTGAGGAAGAGATGGGGACGGGGACGTCGAAGGATACGAACGGCGGTTCGCACGGCGGCGATGAGAGAGAGGAGGAAAATCTCGACCAAGGCGGTGGGCAGCTTTACGTCTCGCTGAAGATGGAGAACTACAAGCTCAAAGGCGAGCTCATTCCTCACGTCTATGGCTCCGTTCCCCTCATCGGTTCTTGGGACTCTTCTAAAGCTGTATGTCTTCATGTTTTTTCCTTTTTTCGTTTTTGATTAACGTTTCGTCTCCTTTTGTTTTCTTCCTTGTTTTAGGATTTTTCTTGTTATTGGATATCTCTTATGTAGCTTTCTATGGAACGCGAATCGGCGTCGATGTGGGAATTGAGCTTCGTTGTGCCTCCAAATCACGGTAATTGTCTTATCATAGCCCTTTAATCCTTAATTGCAAAGGTTAAACAATAAAATTCGTGTATTTACTGATTACTAATTACGTTTTCTTGTTTCTGAAATTTCCAATTTAAGCACTCATGAAAGTAACTGAGTGGTGTTTATTTATTTATTTGGTTTTATTAAATCATTCTTTTTCAGTATTGTTGTGGTTTTCTAATGTCAAGTGGGGTCGTGGATGTATTCGCCCAAGTTTCGGGAAGGTATTTGTTTTCATGGGTCTCTGACGTTGAAAATGAAAACCAAATAGAAAAGGAAATTCATTCTAGCTTTATTTACTTTTAGAGAGAGTGAAAAATCTGGTTAAAGTTGAATTATAGGACGACATGCTGAATTAATCTGATGCCCAAATTTTTTTTTCCATTTTTTTGTTTTGTGTTGTCATTTTGATGAATATAGAAACATTGGATTTCAAGTTCCTTTTGAAGCCAAAGTACAACAATGCACCTTGTGTGGTCGAGGAGGGTCCAAACCGTCAACTTATTGGGGGAACCTTGCAAGGGGATGCAAGGCTGGCTCTGTTTAAGCTGAGCGGTGATGATGTTCACGAGTATCGGGTGTTCATTATAGCAGACAGGGTATCACCATTTGATCTTGCAGCTAGTTGGAGGGCTTATCAAGAGAACCTCAGGCCCTCGGCTGTTCGGGGAATTCCTGACGTTAGTATAGATTCAGTGCCAGAGAAGAGCGCTGAGGTATGCTTAAACATTTTCTTGTTGGTAAATGCCGTGAAATGCTTGACCCAATTTCCTGAAGAACTATGAGTAGGAATTTATTGCAGATTTTGTGTGTGATCAGCTTGACCTTTCCAGGTCAAACAGATTTGTGTGTGGCATTTTCAATTTGGACTAATTGATAGAATAACATTTCTAACAATCATTCCGCTTTTCCCCCGTTTTTAAACGCAGAATGGTTCTTCAGCTAGTTTGGAGCTCGATCTTGAACATTATGTTGTCCCAGCTCCATCAACTTGTGCCAATTCAGGTCTAGTTTATGCAGCTAACATGACTGAGACTCCAAGATCATTAACCCTTTCTGGCGTGTTTTCTAAAGCTGATGGGCATAGCAGTGCTTCTCACTCCTTTAAGGATGGCGGTGGTGTGTCTGTGGATCGACCTGCAACAATTAAGGTTTATTTTGGTAACCATATTGTATATTTTTTGGATCTGTTTGTTCGTTGTGTTTGGCGGACTCCTGATGTGTTCTTTTCCTTTTTATTAATAAAATGCTTTCATTTCTTATTTTAAAAAATGGTAACCATATCGTATATCTGTAATTCTGAATCTGTTTAGGTTTCAGATTGTGAAAGTTTTCTAGGAGCAAAAGTATTATGTTAAGATGTGTGAGGTTCTTCACTGCATAGATTCTAGACTTTGGTGCTTAATTGCACTCTGATCATATCAACTTTGTCAGATTGAAGCTTAAATTATGTCAGTATGTAACTGCAAGTTGAATATTTGGGCTTAGCATGCTAGTTGTCTCTAGATTCAAGAGTACGTTCGTTACATGACCCACATGTGTGGGTGCAGACCGTAGACTTGTATAGGACGTGATTTGGATATTTACAAAAGCATGTTTTCTTCTTTTAAAACCTTGATCTTCACAGTGGTTCTAGATTTAATGTGTTGCTCTAATCTCGTAACAGGAAATGGAGGTTGTTGTTCCAGATCCATCTAAGGTGTATTCATCTTCTGGGATGGTTGAGTCAAAGTCAGTGGGAACGCTTTCACCCTTGCAAAAGCAAGATAGTCATAGGGGACTTTTTGTGGATAGAGGTGTTGGTTCTCCTAGACTAGTTAAATCGTCTAGTACTAGTACCTTCTCTTCTGATCTCAAATTGGACACAGAAACCAAGGTTTGTGCAAAAGTACATTTTCTCCTCTATGACGAAGTCAACTAATTTAGTGATATATTTTTCTTTTGACACTTGTCCCCCCTGTTTTCTATCTGCTGTTAGAATTCAATGCCAGCAGCTGCTGGAGCTGTTGCAGCAGCAGCCATAGCTGATCAAATGCTTGGACCAAAGGAGGATAGACACTTGGCAATTGTTCTGGTATTCTCGATTCTCTAGCATGAGTTGGTGATTAGTTTACCCATAGACTGTTTAATCTTATTTTACTTGCAATCTTATAGGTAATTGAAAATCCGATGTTAATCTTTCTTAGTTCCGAAGTGGTATTGGGAAATTATTGCCATTATCATCAGCTTTTAGTTGATAGTTCAAACATAATTTTTAGTTTTTTAACTGCAAGAAATTCTAACATGTTTCTTGGAATTCAGGTTGGTTTGCCAGCTCGTGGAAAAACTTTTACTGCAGCTAAACTTACTAGATATTTACGCTGGCTGGGTCATGGTACCAAACACTTCAATGTTGGGAAGGTTGCTATCTTAATTTCTTTATGCTCCTCAAAACTGTAGTTTCTGAAGTAAGCGAAGATGGATAACATTTTTCCTTTTGTTGTTACAGTATCGCCGTCTAAAGCATGGAGCTAATCAGGTATCGAAAGTGTATAGCTTAATTTGTATATAGCTCCCCAGACCTTTTGGTTTTAATTGTAATTAGCAACTTATAACCTGTTTTTACAAGTGACTATTTTTTTCCAAGCAAAAAAAAAAAAAAAAAAAATGACAACAGAAGTGTGATGTTATGTTGCTCACTGCTTGTATTTTGTTCTAGTCCTTTTCTAATAAGTTAGGGTCAGTAGTTTTCTTACTGATTGTAGTAATTGGATTTTTCTTAAGAAATTAGAGGACTACATTGGTTTTAGATAAAAAAGAAAAGAGGATATCTAGAGGTCTGATATTTCTTAATGGATGAGATATTTGTTGATGCAGTCTGCTGACTTTTTCCGGGCTGACAACCCTGAAGGCATCGAGGCCCGCAATGAGGTATATATTTCTTAAAAAAAATTTTGAGATATATATATATATATATATATTTTCCCCCTTCTCTTAGGGTGACGTATCTTTCTAAAAAAACAAAAAATAATCTTTAAGCCACTCAAATTGCATTGTGAATGAGGGTAGAGTAAACATACATAGTTGCAAGAGAAGAAGTCAATCTAGAAGGGAAAAGAGTAAGATGCTGTCAGATCATATATTTCATGGAACTTTGAGGCGATCTTTGTATGTAGGTTTCTTGGATTTAGCAAAGACGAGGAGTGGTCTTAGGTTGCAGTGGTCTGTCCTAATTTAGGCATGTCATTCTGCTTAGGCTCAGGAGTTCTTAAGAGAGTGCTGCTTGTTATAATAATTTGGATTTTCAGGGATGATTGGTAATGTTAACACCATGTTAACTTTTTTCTTTGTAAATAGTTTTAATATATCACGTGCTACTAGGTAGCAGCCCTGGCGTTTGATGATATGGTTTCCTGGATGCAAGAACGTGGCCAGGTAAGTCCTTTATACATGATAGTTGTGACTCTTTTATGGCTTCTCTCTTTTGCGTTTGTTCCCATTAATTTTCTCAATTGCAGGTTGGAATCTTTGATGCCACCAACAGTACCAGGAAAAGAAGAAATATGTTGATGAAAATGGCTGAAGGAAAATGCAAGGTACCATGAACAAAGGATTAAGAGACAGTTTAGAATTTTCAAAGCCTAAAAACATGTGTATCTTGAAGTGATTTTTGCACATTTTTGTGACTTATATCCCCCCTTATTTTATTTTATTTTATTTTATTTTTTGCAGATTATTTTTCTGGAAACAATATGCAATGATGAACGCATCATTGAAAGAAATATACGTCTTAAAATTCAACAGAGTCCTGACTATGCAGAAGAGTATGGTTGCTTTGTGGAGCCATTTGTTTATCTTTTTCGACAATGATTATGCACGTTAATTTCTTTCCATCTTGCAGACCAGATTTTGAGGCTGGATTGAGAGACTTTAAAACTCGACTAGCCAATTATGAAAAAGTAGTTATCTGACAATACTATATCGTTTGTTCCAAATAGTTTTTGGTTGTTTGGAGCTTAATACCATGTTAAAACATTCCTTTTTGCCTCGTTGACTAGGTTTATGAGCCAGTTGAAGAAGGATCTTACATCAAAATGATTGATATGGTCAGTGGACATGGTGGACAAATACAAGTAAGTGCAGCTATTTGTCATCACTCATTTCTTGGAGATTAGCCACCCGCAAATCTCCATTGCCGAATCAATCTATTGTTACATGCAGGAATCAAGTAGTGTCCATCAGCATAGTTAAATGATAAAAAAAGTTTCATAATAATGACACGTATATTATGAAATGCAGGGTAGTTTTAAGAGTGGGTTCAGCTAACCAAAGAAAACAAAAGTAGCTTTAGGGTGTAGTTATATATTTTTTGACCTTATCATTTGATTCTTTACTTTTTGAGACTAAGTTGAACGTTATTTTCTGTTGAACTTGTATTTGTTTGTAAATTGTGTCTTTATAATCCTAGATCGGTTTTTGTTGATGCATTGTCTAACTTCTATTCCTTTTTTTTTTCTTTTAATAAATGCATTACATCATTCAGAAATTTTGTCCTTGGTTCAGGTAAACAACATAAGCGGCTACCTTCCTGGACGAATTGTTTTCTTCCTGGTATGTATTATATGGACAATATAGTTCTATTCTATATGTCTGAGGAAGTAATTCTTAATAACAATTGCAAGCATTGGGGAATTAAGGGGAAAATAAAAGGCGGTCAATAATCAACATAGCTTTAGTTATGTTATCTACCCTTCTTGTAGGTGAATACACATCTCACACCGCGCCCAATATTACTTACTAGGCATGGAGAGAGTAAGGATAATGTTAGAGGAAGAATTGGGGGTGACACTGCTTTAAGGTGAGTTCAAAAGATAGAATGTTACTGTTGTGGTTTCGTCCCCAAATGGCTGATAAAAGTTCATGATTCTTTCGTCTCTTCTTATCCTTAAATTGGAAGATCTATATCATAATGATGCCTTCTTGAGTATGATTTTCAAACGAATCAGTTTTTAGCTTGCTGAAATTCTCACTTGTTTCAACAGTGATGCTGGAGAACTTTATGCAAAGAAGCTTTCCAATTTTGTCGAAAAGAGGCTGAAATCGGAGCGGGCTGCTTCTGTAAGCTTCATATGCATGATTGATTATCTACTATCTAGGTTTAGTTTTGTAGCTTTTCAATTTCAGTTGTGAAGTAAATGTTTATCAGGTTTCTGGTAAGCACCAGCTGGAAATAGAAAGATTCAACAGAAAATGCGAGAAATCTAGAGAAAGATAGAATGAAAGAAACGGTTTGTATTGATACTGGATTTCCCAAACACCAATACAGATTCGCATGGACTTTCGAGAGGTCCAGCTCTCTCCCTTTACCAATCACTTTCCCCAAAAACGACACAAAAGACACACCCCTCCCCTTTTATTAATCAAAAGGAAAAGACTCTAGTACCCCTGCATGGCCAACACCCCTAACACAAATATTACTGAAGCCTCATGTCTCTCTAGCCCACAAACACGTCACCCCACACCTAGCGCCCCTTCTTGGCACGTTTGACATATGTAAACCTGGCTGGGGGCTTATCAATACCCCCTGCCCACAGAGTCACCTTGTCCTCAAGGTGAAAGGAAGGAAATTGTTGTTGCACCACCGCATAGGGTTCCCAAGTAGCCTCGAAGACGGGCAACCCCTTCCATTTTATCAACACCTCCAGCTGTGCGCCCCCAGCAACAGGGCCCTGGCGCAACCTGAGGACTTCATCCGGTTCCACCATGAGCTCCAAGTCATCTGCGAGCTGCGGGGGAAGTGGAGAAATTGGCACCGAAGTGAGCCGGGCAAGCTTCAGCTGCGAGACATGGAAAACTGGGTGGATGACGGCCTGGTTGGGAAGGTGCAGCTTATAGGCCACAGCCCCAATGCGAGCCAGAATTCTGTAGGGCCCATAATAGCGCGGGGCCAGCTTCTCGAAAGGCCTGGACGCCAAGGAGCGACGTCAATAGGGGCGCAGCTTTAGAAACACCATATCGCCTACCTCAAAGTGGACGTCACGTCTATGGCCATCAGCGCGCGCCTTCATCCGCTGCTGTGCGCGCTCCAGATAACGCTTCAACTCAGCCAACATATCATCACGATTCTTCAACTGGAGCTCCACGACTGAGCTAGCTGTGGTTCCTGGCCAGTAGCGAAGTAAAGAAGGGGGTTCTCGTCCGTAAACCACACGGAAAGGAGTGGTACCAATGGACGTGTGGTAAGCCGTATTGTAACAATACTCAACCCATGCTAGCCAGCGAGCCCAGTGTTTGGGCTTGTCTGTTGCGAAGCAACGCAAATACGTCTCCAAACACCGATTTACAACCTCGGTTTGCCCGTCGGTCTACGGGTGGTACGCTGTGCTATACTTTAAGGCAGTCCCCTGTAGTTTGAATAACTCCCTCCAAAAGTGACTCATGAACACCTTGTCACAGTCGGAGACAATTGATTTAGGCACCCCATGAAGGCGGACCACGTCGCGGATGAACGCAGCAGCTACTGTTGGGGCCGTGAACGGGTGTTTAAGGCTAATGAAATGGGCGTATTTGCTCAACCGGTCGACCACCACCAAGATTGTGTCCGCACCCTCCGATTTCGGAAGGGATTCGATGAAGTCCATGGAGAGGTCCTCCCAAATCATTTCTGGAATGGGTAATGGTTGCAAAAGTCCACCCGGAGCCAATGTCGAAGTCTTGTATTGCTGGCACACTACACAATTTGCAACGTAACGGTGAACATCCCCTTTTATTCCCTCCCAATACCATGAAGCGGCAATCCGTTTGAGCGTCTTCAGCACCCCCGAATGGCCTCCCATGCCACTGTCGTGGTACTCTTTCAAGAGCAAGCTGATAAGAGGGGAGCCTTTAGGCAACACCAGGCAGTCCCGGTACAGCAGGCGGCCCTGCACTAGAGAATACCCAGGCCGCGCCATGGGATTCTGTTTCAGGTCTTCCGCGATAGCTCGCAGCCGGTCATCTGCGAGGACCTGTGCATCCACATCCTCCAACTGTACGACATGGGGTAGCGTCATGGCTAGCAAAGCGGTGGTAGAATCCATACGGGATAAAGCATCGGCCGCTTTGTTCTCCAACCCGGGCTTGTACTGGATCTCAAAATCAAAGCCCATTAATTTAACCAACCATTTTTGATGCTCTTCACTCACCATGCGCTGTTCCAGAAGGAATTTCAGGCTACGTTGGTCTGTGCGTACCACAAAGCGACGCCCCAAGAGATAATGCCGCCACTTTTGAATGGCGAAAACAATTGCCATGAGCTCTCGCTCATAAACCGACTTCAACTGTGAGCTTGCCGGAAGAACATGGTTGTAGTAAGCGATGGGACGTTGTTCTTGCATGAGAACCGCTCCCAAACCATGGCCCGACGCATCCGTCTCTAGGACAAACGGCTTTGAAAAATCGGGCAAAGCGAGCACTGGCACGCTGGTCATCGCCTCTTTGAGCGTATTAAAGGCCACTTCAGCCTCCGCTGTCCAGTGGAAACTATCTTTTTTCAGCTGGGCGGTCAACGGCCAAGCCAACTCCCCATAGCCCTTAACAAAACGACGGTAGTATCCCGTCAACCCCAAAAACCCACGCAGCTCATGTAATGTCCGCGGGACCGGCCAACGTAGCATGGCTTCGACCTTGGTCCTGTCCGCCATGACCCCCTCCCCCGAGATAATGTGACCCAGGTATTCCACCTGCCTGTTTCCGAACAAGCACTTCTTCTTGTTAGCATAGAGTTGGTGGGACGCGAAGATCTCCAAAACTCTCGCCAAATGCTCGTGGTGTTCTTCCCAGGTACGACTATACACCAAAATATCATAAAAAAATACAAGAACGAATCGGCGTAAACAATTGCGGAATATGGCATTCATAAGGGCCTGGAAAGTAGCCGGGGCATTTTTCAAACCAAAGGGCATTACTAGGAATTCGTAGTGCCCCTCATGGGTCCGGAATGCCGTCTTGGGCACATCCTCCCTCCTCACCCGTATTTGGTGATATCCCGATTTCAAATCAAGCTTGGAGAAAATCTGCGCCCCGTGCAATTCATCGAGCAGCTTGTCGATGACCGGAATAGGGAACTTATCCGGCACCGTTACCTTGTTCAAAGCCCGGTAGTCCACACAAAAATGCCAACTACCGTCCTTCTTCCGGACTAACAGAACCAGGCTGGAATATGGACTTGTGCTTGGTTGTATAATCCCTGCTGCCAACATTTCTCTTACCAGCCTTTCAATCTCCCCCTTTTGAACATGGGGATATCGGTATGGTCGTACATTCACTGGAGCCGTGCCAGGTTGCAATGTGATGGCGTGATCGCGAGCTCGTTGAGGAGGCAACTCGGCTGGCCACTCGAATACGCGATCATTTGCTGCAACCATTCCGCCAGAGGTGACAGCACTGGGTTCAAGCCTTCTCCTGCCGCCACTTCCAAACTACCGAGCTCCAACAACACCCCCGGCCCCTCTTCCCGAATGGTCTTCATCATCGCCTTTAAGGAAACTATGGAATTGCATAGGCTCGGGTCTCCCTGTAATGTTACTGCCACGCCACCCATCCTAAACCTCATGGTAAGCGTCTTCCAATTCACTTGCATTCCCCCTAACGTT